TATTTCATCTAACATTCTGTCTAAAGTTTCTGCTTTTTCTTTCATTTGGGGATTGTTTCTTTGTCTTCCCATTGTTTGAGACTCTTCTTGTTAGTCTCTGCTTCCAAAATTGATCTGTTCTGAAACACTGGTTTTATGGTGTAAACTTCTGTGGTATGATCCTTGTGAAGTTCAGTGGTGCAGACTCCTTCAAGTTTCTTGATGTTCTTCATCTCCACCTACACTCACGCTGGTCCTCGAGCTGGTCCCTGCGTTGGTCCCCTACCACTGCTGAATGTCCCGGCTCTAGTAGCCGCCTCCTCAAGCAACCTGGCCCGTTACTATGGCAGTGGCACAGATGCTGGGAATGTCCCGGCTCCCGTATCTGGCTCTCTCTGCCGCCCAGGGCCGTCACAGCGGCTTGGAGTGTCCCAGTTTCCGTACCTGACTCCCCGGCGTTTAGTCCTGTCTCTATGGCAGTGGCACAGAGGCTTAGAAAGTCCCAACTCCCGTACCTGATTCCCCAGTGTCCAGTCCCTTCGCTATGGCAGCAGAACAGGGGCTGAGACAGTCCCAGTTCCCGTAGAGGGATCCTCTGCCACCCAGGGCTGTCTCAGGGGTTTGGAGTGTCCAGGCTTCTGTACCTGACTCCCCGGCGTCCAGTCCCGTCGCTATGGCAGCGGCACAGGGTTTGAGAGCTTCCCGGCTCCCGTAGCTGGCTGCTCTGCTGCGTCACAGGGGTTTGGAGAGTCCCGGCTTCCGTTCCTGACTCCCCATCCAGTCCCGTCGCTATGGCAGCGGCACAGGATTTGAGAGCTTCCCGGCTCCCGTAGCTGGCTCCTCTGCTGCGTCACAGGGGTTTGGAGAGTCCCGGCTTCGGTACCTGACTCCCTGGCATCCAGTCCTGTTGCTATGGCAGTGCGCGAACGTCCCGGCTCCCGTAGTTGGCTCCTCAAGGTCCAGGCGTGTCTCTATGGCTGCGTCACAGGGGCCTTTGGTGTCCCAGCTCCTGCAACTGACCCTTCCGTTGCCCAGGCCGGTAGCTATGGCATCGGCACAAGGGTGTCCCCGTTCCGGTTCCTGACTCCTCTGTCTCCCAGGACCGTCACAGGGGCTTGGAGTGTCCGGCTTCCGTACCTGACTCCCCGGCTCCCAGGCCTGTTGCTCTGGCGGCAGCACAGGGGCTGCGTGAGACCCAGCTCCAGTAGCTGACTCTGCCGCCGTCTGGTGTTTCAGTGTCGGTCACAATCTCTGGTCTTTTAATTTCATAAATGCTGGGTAACCGATGGTTTATTGTGCTGTTTCTCTGTAGATCTGCCAGGATTTTCACCCATGAGTACAGGAGCTAGTATCAGCTCCATCTTACTCCGTCGCCATCTTCCCAGCATCCCTAACCCCTTTTCTTTATGAAAGGATATCTTTGCCCTCAGATTAAGCTTTGCTCTGAAATTTGCACTGTTTGATATTAATAGTCACTCTGGCTCCCTTTTGATTGTTAGTATGGTATATTTTGGTCCACTCTTTTACCTTACCCGTCTTTATATTTAAATTTTTTATTGTATGCAATATATAGTTGGGTCTTTTTTAAAATCCAATCTGAAAGTTTCTCTTAATGAAAGTGATCAAACCATTTACATACCATGACAAATGTGGTACTGACACGGGATTCAGTCTGTGATCTTGCAATGTGATTTTTATCCATCTCATCTGTTCCTTGCTTCCCCTTTTCTCTTTTCTGAAGTTCTGTGCACTTGAGTTCTAAACCAAGAGTTCTGGCCCTCAGTGTCACTGACCAACCCTGGGTAGCTGACCTGGTGCTGGCCTGGTATGTTCATCACTGGTCCTTGTCCTCCAGCCCATGGTTCTGATGCTTTAGGGTTGGAAAGGATGAGCTCATGTGGAACCCAGAAAAGACAGCATGAGTGATTTCTTTCAGTTGTCTGCCACAATGTGTCTTGACCTCCTCCTCCCTTCTCTGTGTGTATGTGTGTGTGTGTATTTGGTATTTATAGTTTGAACATATGTGTATGTAGGCAAAGACAAGTATAGTTTCTATCTTACAAATGGACTGTGTACCAAAATTATTTATTAAGCTATGTTTGATGGACTGAATGTTTGTATTTCCCCAAATTCGTATGTTGAAGCCCTAACCCCCAATGTGACTCTCTGGAGATAAGGGCTTGTGGAAATAAGATTAAGTGAGATCATAAGGGTGGACCTTGATCTGAAATTATTAGTGTTCTTATAAGAAGAGAATCAAAAGAACAGAGCTCATTCAGTTTCCATCATAAGTGCACAAAGAAGGGGGTATGAGAACACACAGAGATGATAGCCACCTACATGATCCTGGACTTCCAGCCTCTAGAAGTGTGAGAAATAAATGTTGTTGTTTAAGCTGCCCAGTAACTGGTATTATTACAGTGGCCCAAGATACCATGTGTTTTTGTTTCCTAAAGCCTCAACATACTAAGTCAAGGCTGGACTTCCTGGCTAGAGACTGAAACGAGCAGTTAACACTAAACATACTTAGGTATTAGATCTTCAAGTACAGATAGAGAGGTATAGGCTGTAACTAAGTGTTTTAATTGCTTTGGCTGTTACATAGCTTACAGTCAAAGATTAAGAAAGTAAGTCATTTATAGTCAAAGATTATGAAGTATACTAGTCATATCCTGAAGGCCTGCCTATAAAGCCAGTTTCAGGAAAAATGGATAAAAGTATACTTTGCCTATTAGAAAAATGTAGCTAGGTAAGCACAAAACAATGATGGCTTAAACAATAGCAATAGTAACAAGATATTTATTTATTTACTTAATTTTATTTATTTATTTTTAGAGAGAGGGGAAGGGAAGGAAAAGGAGAGGGAGAGAAACATCATATGTGGTTGTCTCTCATGTGGCCCCCACTGGGAACATGGCCCGCAACCTAAGCATGTGCCCTGACTGGGAATTGGATCAGTGACCCTTTGATTCACAGGTCCACACTCAATCCACTGAGCTATCCAGCCAGGTCATAACAAGATATTTAGTTTCTGCATGTGCTTTAGAGATAATATCAGTGATACACAACTATGAGATCTTTTGCAGAATCTTGGTTCTTCAACCTGGTTAGATCACCTAACCACAGTGACAAAGGCAATAGACAAGATATCAGAAACTATCTGAACTATTTTGTTAGTCTGAACTAATCAGACTAACAAAAACTGCTGAGGCTTGTATAAAAACTAATAAGCTTCACCCATGACACTCAAACCCTAATGCTTAATCTCTGCCTTTAGAAGAAATCCTTGACTAAAAACCATCAGGGATTAGGGCTTACCCTGAGGGCTTTGGAGGCTGGGCATGCAGGATCCACTGTACCCCTAGGGTGGTGGTTTGACCATCACCATCACTGGCCTGTCCCTCCTCCTGTGCTGATTACCAGTGCAATAGCTTCCAGAGGGCTGTGTCTGTCTGCATGGAGGACCCAAGCTGATGCCCCCAGAGTCAGGTAGGACAGACTCTGCTACTTGGGGCCACAGGATGGAAGGAGTGCAGACTGGCTCTGCTCTGAGGGCCTGCTACAGGGAGTACTCTCTCAGTTGTGGTATGATGTGAATAGGGGTTCCTCTGCCCACACAATTTTTATCATTAAGTCCTGTACTATCCTTATCTTTAACCAGTAATTATCTTACCAGTGTTCACCATTAGCATCTGTACTATTACTTGATTAAAAGGAATGATTTAAATAAATCTGCTGTCCAGAAAGGTTAACTGTGAGAACCCAGTAACAGGAGCTGCAAAGTAGGGATAATAAACAGAACAGAGTGAAAACACTGGCCAGGATCCCATCTGGCTGCATACTTGCCCCTCTGATAGATCAGAGTGGAACAGGCCCGAGGCGCAGACACACATAAGACATGTCCAGTGATGAGAGATGGTGTGGGCAGCCACCATGCATACTGCCACAGATGCATGTCTTCATATTGCACCAGTAAATCCCCTTGGGAAGCTGTGGGAGACAGGAAATCCACACTGATCTGCTTTCATCAGCCAGTTGGAAAGGAGTCTATCACAGGGGTGGCTTTTTTGACGGAGGTAAATGACATCTGGGGATACCTGTAACAACTGCAATATCAGACGTAGCATTTGTGGGCTCCGGCAGTGACTTGCCCCAGGTGCTGCTAGCCCCACCTCACATTCATTAACAAGGAAGCACTCAGTTGCCACCAGAAATCAATGAAAACAAAAATGCAGTTCCCCATCTCAGTGTGCGGGCCACTGAGTTCTACCCCAGGCACCAGCCCCAGCATAAGCAGGTCCCTCAGGCAAGGCTACAATTCCATCACCCACGTCTCCCTGTGGGGCTACTCAGAGGTTTCCCACTTTTCACATGGTGCTCCAGGATCCCACCATGGGGGATAGCCTGCAAGGGCCAGCAAGCCTGTCCTGCCACCTTCTGTAGCCAGGGGTCTCAGACCCAGGCCAGCCTCTCTTGACAGTGCATGTGGAGAAAGAGCCATTCCAGGTCAGTGGGGTGTCCTGTGCCAGGGTGTGTATATTGTGGGGAGGGGTGACATGCCTTGGAGCAGGATGGCCAAAGGGTCAGCAGAATGAATAGAGCTGTGTGTGCAAAGCCACAAGTCTGGAGGCCAGGAGCCATCACCTGAGATTAGCATTGCTGCTCAGCCTTGTGGGCCCTGCAAAGAATGGGTGTTACCCTGGGCCTGAAGAGGCTACCTGCCATCCAGGGCCCAGACTGCTTCCCCAAGAGGTGTGTGACTCTGTCACCCATTTGATGTGTCCTGGCTGCTATCAGATGCAAGGACCCTGAACTAAGAGGGGCACTGTAGCATCCTGTAAACTGCAAAGGGTTCATCATCACAACCAGAACCTTTGGCTAAGGGTGCCCCAGACTGTCCTGCTCTGTGGTCCCTAGAGATGCTCCAGCACTTGTACCTACTCACTGCCATCTCAGGCCAATGGCCTGTCTAGGACCACTGAAAAGGAGAGTTTGAAAAACCAAAGTCCTTTTTCCCCCAAAATACTTTTTATTGTTGCGTTACATTTGTGTTTCCAATTGTGAATTTAAAAAATGCTTAGAAAGTGGTTACAAAACAGTGTGAACTGACATGAGGTGCAGACCCGCCTTCTTTGTATGATGACACAGGGTCTGGCGTCTGGGTCGGGTCAGCCAGCCTGGGCTCAGTTGGGCTTCTCACTCTCAGAATCTAGAAAACAAAACCACCATAGCTCATTATAGGGACTACATGGTGACACCAGGCCCTGGAAGGTGGAGCAGTGACCCCAAAGCAGATGTGTTCCTCAGGGGGCTAGAAATCCTGACTGTCCCTGTGAAGATGGACCCGGCAACCCCAGCCTGCTGGCCACCTCTGCACTGAGCAAGTGCCCCAAACCAGACAGCACCTTCCAGCACATCCAGCCTGAGTGGACAGGGAGCAAGCTACCTCTGGATCCTTGGACACAGCAACCCCACAATGCCCTGGCCTTTGATCAAAGCCAGCCCTGAGATGAGGCATCAAATGCAACTGGTCATTCCCAATGTTCTGTGAACAGAGGCACAAAGCCTGAGTGCATCTCAGTAGGAGTGTAGGACTTGTAGACCTGGGCAGCCACCCCAGTTGGGTGGAACACAGGGCACTGTGAGCCCTAGCCTGAGTGAATGCAGGCAGGGGCACAGGCCCCTAAGTATGAAGTCATCAAGGGCATATGGCCAGGAACACATGCTGAGCTCCATGGGGTGGAGGTTGCAGAAGAGGGGTTCAGGAGGGAAACCTTTCCCAAAACCACACCTGCACCATGGCCCTCCCTGTGCCTACAGGACAGGAGAGTCTGTTCCATGACCCAGCCCCAATCCTCCTCTCAAGAGGCCTAGAGCCTGACACGCCCCCCTACACTTCATGCACAGAGTCATGCAAACCTAGCTTTCTTGTAAACAGCCAACATGGACAGGGGTCGAGTGCACTGTTTAGCTGCCTACAAGGATCACTTTGTTCATAGGGCAGAGCCCACCCCACATCTATATGGTTGAAAGCAGAGTGAACAGAACAACCCAAGCCCAGAGCATGCAGAGGCTGGCCACTGTTGGGGCCCAGGGCACACCTGGTGGGCATTGTGTACAGCAGACTGAATCCCACCTGACACCCCACACTCATTCCCTGATCCTGACAGTTGAGTCCATCATGCCTGGCTCCCACCAGAGAGATGGCAAACACTGCCTGCTCACCCAGCCAGCTCTCCTCCCCAATCTTCCCTATGAAGTTAGCTGGTTCAGCTTTTACGTGGACAGAGAGAAAGACAAAGATGTTGTTCCACACTATTTTCACGCAAAAATGTCTATTTTCCTCCTTCATATATACAATATCTTGGGGATTCTGTGCCACTGACCATTCATGTACAAGGCCAGAACTCTAAACCTCACGTTGGTGCACTGCGGGTGGGGTTAGTGTTGGAGGGAAGGGTGGCTTCCATTGCCCTCAAGAACCAGGCACACTAAACTCAACAGAGGACCAAAGGGCACATCACAGAGAAAGAAATCTCTGAGTACAGCATCATGTCCTGGCAAAAGATAATCATCCAGAAAATTCAATTCTAATATAATTGATGGAATTTAAGGAAGCCAGTTTTAGTGAGGTTCCGAAATACAGCAGAATTCTACAATTCACAGTTGGTCAGCTCAACCAGCTGCCTCCTTGAAGACGGTGAGCAATATCCTAGCCAGTGAGAAGCAGAGCCTTTAGTTTCCTCTGGGGGCTGTTTGGTGCCAGCATAGGAGAAGTCCTGCCAACATCTCAAGGGGAGGAACACCCCGCCCTTAGTTGGGTAGCCATGGTGCCTGGAGAGCAGTCAGGGGGCCAGAGGTGGGTTGAGCAGCCTGTGAGCATGCCAAAGAGTGAGGTGCAGGTGATCATAGGCCTCAGTGTAGGTAATGGAAAAGGAAGAAGGACCAGCTGGAGTGTGGGTGGGACCCCAGAGCCAAAGGGGTGGTGCTATCTCTGGAGGATGGTGCCAGCCTATGTCCCTGAGACTGCAAACACACACCCTTAACTTACCCACCGCATAGCAACCCTGGCTGGCTTTGGGTCCTGAGGGTGTGTCTGCTTACCTAGTACTTTCCAGTAGGTTCCACATAGCCAAACATAGCTACTGACGCTCCTTATTAAGAGACCAAATGCCGCTAGCAATGCATGGCCCCAGGAACCATGCAGCCCTAAGCATCCTGCTGACAGTGCCCGCAGTGCTACAGTTGAGGGTGTATGTCCATCTGTTTGCTACCAGTGACATAGAAGCCCAGAGAGACCTCCTTTTATGAACATGAAGCAGAGCTCCCCTGCCATTTGCAACTCTTCAATACTCAAGGTCACTAGTTTAGTTTTTTAAACTAAACTTACAGCAGAAAGTACCACTTACAGCAGAAAACTAAAGTTCAGACTAGCTTCAGATTTATAAGCCACTTATATCTCTCTGCAACTTAAAATGGGAAATAAAGATATCAATGCACAAACCAGTTGTAAATAAAATATACTTTTTCCAAAACATGAATTTTCAAACATTTCTTTCCATTAGGAAACAGAAAAGCTGAAATTCAAGGCACTGTGATTCTACAGCATGTTTACAGTGTCCTAAACGTTGATTCAAGTACCGGAAGTGGATATAAAGACTGAGTGGCCATGGGAACCTAAGAGGAAATGGGGTCTGCAGCAATAAAGGAAGCAAGGGCAGCCCTCACACAGGCCCTTTACTGGGCACCCTCAGGCAGGCGGGGCAGGACTAGGAGACCAAACCACAGCCCGGCTACTCTGGGTTACTCAATTCAGCTCATTCCATCTGGTAAGTAGTTAGACAGAACTACACAATCCACAGCCTGGGGCCTGGCATGCTGACCACAGATGGCCAGAAGAACTCAGGGAGCACAGGACAACCAGGTGGTCCCCAGCCAGGGCTTCGGCTCCCTGCCTGGGCTCCCCAGGGACCCCAGGAAACGGGCTGAGAGCAGGCTTATGTACTGGCCTAGAGGCAGTGCAAAGAGTAGAGATGAGAGGCAAGAGAGGGCAATACCTGGTATGAGCAGAGGCAAGGCCAGGGCAGTTCCAGGAATGACTGTGGTAGGCAGAGGGCCAGGTGCCAGGGCCAGACATGGTGTCCCCACTGCTGCTCGAGGTGTGTTCACCTATAAAACAAGAGGGCGAGGACACGTGTGGCTGTAATCACCTGGCCTCTCCCAATGGCCCTGAGGGTCCCTGCAGTTTCTCCATCCTTGAGAGAGTGTCCCAAAATCTGCCATGGGTCACCTTCTAACAGCTGACGCCAGAGTTGACAGTGTGGGGCCAGGAAGCAGAGGTCCACCTTTCCTTGCTCTCCAAATCTGTAGCCCAGCCAATGCTGAGCTCAATACCCCAGCTGTCCACAAGCCAGAGATTGCCCTGTCAGGGCCTGACCACTGAAGGCATCATGAGAGATCAGATACCCCAAACCAAAGGCCTACTGTTTGGTCAGTGCCATTATGGGAGGACCAGAGCAGTGGGGAGCTATGAGGGGCATGTGCCCAGGGCCTATGAGTCAATGGCAGGGTAGCCCCTCTGCTCTCTACAACCCAGAGAAGTAGCACAAAGGTGGGGTAGTGAACAGTAATAGTTGGTGAGACCAACATGCCTATGCTGTAGAAACCTGAGTAGGCTACTGCAAGAAAGGACACCAACAAACTTCAAACCCCCTACAGAAAATGTTGGTGGATCTAATCCAACAACTAAAAATGATAAAACATCACAACCTAGTGGAGCTTGCCCCAGGATGCAATCCTGCTGTCCCAGTGGCAATGACTGCGCTTACTGTACCTATACCACAAAGGAGAATCCAACATGATGTTTTTCATAGATGCAGGGAGGGCATCTAAGGAATCCCACATTCCTTCAAGGACAGCACAGCAGCTGAGTCCTGTGAGGGGACTCTGCAGAACCTGCAGCCACCCAGTGCTAATGCGAAGTGCCAAATGCATCCCCCTGAAGACCCTCTTGCTCCTAGTTAAAATCCATGGACCAGAACTTCCCATGGCGCATGGGAAGTTCCAGATAAGGCAAGGCAAGGAACAGAGGCACAGACTGGGGAAAAAAGTAAAACCATCTTTATTTACAGATGAGAAGATTGTATATGGAGAAAACCCAAAAGAGTGAACAAATCAGTTTCTAGAACTAACAAGCAAATTTAGCAAGATTGCAGGATACAAAATACAGAACTCAATGTATTCCTATATACTAACATACAACTGGAGAATAAAATCTTTAAACAGTATAATTTACAACTGCATTCCAAGACATCTACTATCCAGGGATACATTTAATGAAATATGTGTAACACCTTTACTCTGAACACTATAAAACTTTGCTGAGAGAGAAAAAAATCAAGTTCATAGGTGCATTCAATATTGTTAATATGTCAAATCTTACCCAGTTGATCAAAAACTCAGATATAATCCCAATCAAAATGCCAGCAGGGTATTCTACAGAAATTAACAGGCTTTTTCTAAAATGTATATAGAAATATTAAGAACCTAAAAAAATCTAGAAATTCTTGAAGAAGATTAATGTTGGATCTTACACAAATATTAAGCTTTCTATAAAGCTACAGTGATTAAGAGGATGTTATACTATCAAAGGATAAAAGAATGGCTCAATGGAACAAAATAGTGACTTCAGAAATGGCCCTACATGAATAGCCACTTGATGAATGTCTGAGGAAAGCAACATGCTGGTAATGACCAGAATATACAAATGGGGAGGGGGTGGGGTGAGTGGGAAAACTACCTCTACATGAAACCATACACAAAAGTTAATTTGAGGTGGTTTACAAGTCTGACTGCAATATCCCTGGTCTTGGAAGAGGCAAATGGTCCTTAAATAAAACTAAAATATTATCAAACAAACAAAATCTGATAAACTGGACCTCAACAAGATAAAATCTCTGCCATTTTGCTTTTACTATTAAGAAAATAAAGGCCCTGGCTGGTGTAGCTCAGTGGATTGAGCGTGAGCCTGTGAACCAGACAATCGAGGTTCAATTCCCAGTCAGGGCACATGCCTGGGTTGCAGACCAGTTCCCTGCAGGCCAGTTCCCAGCAGGGGACGCACGAAAGGCAACCATACATTGATGTTTCTCTCCCTCTCTCCTTCCCTTCCCCTCTAAAGATAAAGAAATAAAATATATTAAAAAAAAAGAAAATAAAAAGTCAAGCCATAAACTGTTAGAAAAAAATGTACATACAAGTGGACTTGAGCAGCTCAAACCCATGTTGTTCAGGGGTCAGCTGTGGTTCCAACCTGTGGCTGGGAGCCCATGTGTGCAGAGGGCTGACTAGTGTAGGTTTTCAACTGCATGGGGGTCAGCACCTCTGACCCTGGGCTTGTTCAAGGGCCAAATGCATATAGTGAAAAACATGTAGCAAACTTCAATAAATCAATAATAAAGAGATATTTTGACTTTTAAACAGTAAAGATCCCTGACCAGAAACATTACACAAGATGGCTAAAAATGTGTAAGGTGCCCCACAGCAAACAAAAACAGTAAGAAATCTTCTAGGCTTCAAATTCTCTTTACAAATACATTTTCAAATTCAACTTCCCACACACACTTTGTTCAAAATTCACAACAATAGACAAGGCAATACGAGGTGAAATAGAAAATGGAAATTATAAAATACTGTTTTATAGAAGAGATATGATTGAGAATTTGGGCAGAGAGCCAGAAACTATAAAAAAGGATATAGCAGATGTGTGTGTGTTGGTGAGGGGACAACAAATATGAAGTTTCCAACTGAAAACTATAATACCTAAAATTAAAACTTAATGCATAGATTTAACAGTAGTTTAGAAACAAAGGAAAAGTTGTGTGAAATAAGATTTAAAGAAAATATCTGGAATAAAGTATCAAGGGACAAAAGAAGAGAAAAATACATAAGAGACCAAGGACAGGGTAAGAGACCTCAAATGTGGACTGAAGTCTCAGGAGGGGGGGGGGAGGAGAGTGAAGCAGGAGCAGTATGGGAAGAGACAAAGAAAAAAAATCCAAATTTGATTTTTAAAAAAAAATCAACCCTGGAGTCATCAGGCCCTATGAAGTCTAAGTAAGAGAAAAAATTATTTATATTCTTAGGTACCACACAATAAATCTTCTGAAAATGAAACTACCAGAAGCCAGAAGAAAAAGGATGTATTATCTTTAAAGGAATGACAAATAGACTGGCAGCTTACTTCCAACAAAAAGAAGGGCAGCTAAATAACAATAGAATGAAAATGCCAACGCACATAAATAACTGTTAACCTAGAATCCTAGACCAACTGAATACACCCTCTAAGAATGGTGATAAAACAATGACACTTTTAGGCCAAACCTGAAAAAGCAGTCACTGGTATACAATTAAAGGACATTCTGAATGATTCCAAATGGAAGATCAGAGGTAAGAAGAAATGAAATGACACAACTGGTAAATATGCAAATGAATGAAAACTGACTGTATAAAAAATGTGTTGTGGGACTGGAAGTCCATTTGTAATTTAAAAAATAAGTGCCACTAGGAAAGTAAATGCAGGTTAAGTGTTTTATGGTCTTTGTAGTGTCTACAAAATGGGCAAGAAAAAATAGACCTTAGTAATTTACATTAAATGTAAGTGAACAAAATCATTTAAAAACTAGAAAAAGTGAAATAGACCCAAATTATGTGTTTACATGAGATACATCTAAAACATAAGGATACAGAAAGGCTGAAAGTAAATAATGGGAAAGCATACACCATGCAAATGATAATCCAATATAACCTAGTATAGTTATAGCAATTTTAGACAAAGTGGATTGAAGGGAAAAATTTATAACAGAGATACTTGATAATGTTAAAAGTTCAGCTCACAAGTCAGACATGGTAAATCTAAATTTGAATATAACTAATAACATAGATTCAAAATGTATAAGGCAAAAGTCAACAGAAGTACAATAAGAAATACTCAAATCCACAACCATAACAATAAATTTAAAAATTCTTCTTTATAACTGACAAAATATGTACAAACCCAGACAAAGCCAATAAGGGTGGGCAAGAAACTTTGAAAAAACAACTAGAAACTGTCGGAACTAACTTTATCAGAACTCTAGAAAACAACTAATGGTTTATAGAAATCGAGTAGAAACAAAAGGCAAATAAAAAAAAAGGCAAATTTTTAAAAATTTAAAAAGCACTCTGGTATTTTCACTGGCTATTGGCCCACATCTTCCCTGCCTTTACACATGTCTTCAAGAAGGGAGTTTACATTCCCAGTGTGGTACCTTGGCCCATAGTTCAAAAAAGAGCAGAGATCTTATTCATAATTTGTATGTCTGTACTAATTTGTCTGGAAGCCACTTGAAGGACTGATAAGGGTTCGCAAATTAGGACTGCCTGACCAAACTTGGAATTCTCTAAGGGCAGAAAAATGCCTTGTATTGCTGAAACACCTTGTAAGGCAATAAAAAAATCCACAGTTGCCCAAGGCCAAAGATTACAGTTGAGACGTACATAAACTGCCTAATGCCAAGACAGAAAAGTGCTATATACTGAGGGGATGTAATTTAGAAAGCCATGTGCATGCCCACAGCAGGATTCATATTCAGAAAAGAACTGAGAAGACCCTAAGTATTCACTACTAGTCTTGGTGTAAGCAAGAAGTACAAGCATAGGCAAAGTGAGCTCCTGGTGTTTAAGAAAATCTGTCAGAACAATTGCTGAACACAAGCTAAGCCTTCAACAAACAAAACCATCAAATACTGAGGAAAAAGAGAATTTGGTTTCCAAAGTTATTTATAATATTCAAATGTCCAGTTTTCAAAAAAAATCACAAATTATACAAACCATAAGGAAAGTATGACCCCACAAAGAAAAAAAATAATGAACTGAAATAGACTTTGGACTTCTTAAACAAAGACTTCACACCAGCTGTCTTAAAATATGCTCAAAGAGCAAAAGGAGACAATGGGCAAACAGGAAACCTGGAAAGTGATAGATGAACAATATGATAATATCAATAAAGAGACAGAAATTATAAAAGGAACAAAATAGAAACACTAGAGCTAAAATATAAAAGCTGAAATTTAGAGCTCCACTACAGAGGATCGAAAGCAGATATGAGCAGGCAGAGTAAATAATCAGCA